TTTTTTTTTTTCACATGTATGTATGTTCAAAGTGCTCAGCAACTCTTATTGACTGTAATTTCTGCTTCAACGTTCCAGCCTTTTCTTTGGCTACTGTATGGCCAGTGACGAGTCCAGACCAGAACAATTTATGATTATGGCATCTCTTCATCTATTTCATCTCTATTATAAATGGCACAGACTTAAACTTGAATATAAATTTCTGTTTTTCTCAATTTTTAAAAATAATTTGTAGGGTACCTGGGCTGGGCCGGCTTAGTCCCCCCTACTGTGTGAGGGTGTGTATCAGTTGATCAAGTTTAGCAGATAATCTGGCTACATTGAATCTGTGATATATACTGTACTAACAAGCTTCCAAGGTCTATTCGTATGACATTCACCTGGAAAGGAAAAGGTCGCAGGTTCAAATCCCTCTGGCAGAACTTTTTTATATATCTGAAAAAGCATACCTTCATTGAAGAGGCTTTGCTTGATATGATTATATCATTCTACTGTATATCATTTATTTATTGATTATATATGTTTATAATCCTATGCCTCAACATGGTGTTATCATGAATATACTATGAACAACTCTGCAAATTTCCCCATTGCAAGGCCACTACTGCTTAACTGTAAGGTGTGTCAGTTGTATGAGGGGGGTGAGCTGGTTACATGACATAGTTACAGCTTTTTTTATCAAATGATTTACATTCTACTTTATTTCTTTATTTGCATGCGAGTTTAGTATACTGGTGGGAATTAGGAGGAATCGTGATACATTTGTTTGACTTTTCGGGTGGCAATAATCGATGTTATAACCTACAGTTTGCTAAGCGTTTGTCTCCTGAAACGTTCGGTGACCATGAAAAGGTAAATACCTATTATATAGCTTATATTTCTTGTCTTGTTATATGTAGTGGCATAACAATGTGGCCGTGGGCCCTGTCGCTTTTTGAGAGACGGAGGGCCTTTTTTAGGTCCTGGTCGCCAATTTTATTGTGGGATTTTAGATGTTGTTTTTTAATCATGTTTGTCATTGTATTCTAAATGTTTTCAAGGATGAAATAAAAATGATATTATATCAGTGGAACTCAAAGGGAGAGAGCCCAGGGAGGGACCTTCACTGGTAGGGTCAGTACTACCCCAGGCCCTACAAGGGTTGGGGCTGAGATAACAAATTTATGATTACGGCACCTCTGATGTCCGGAAATGGCACTCACAGACCTTAATATTTAGGGCCCCTTTTAAAATCGGCTATTGGATATAATACGGTATACAGTCGATGTCAGGGACATATTATGCTGTAGTGTACTGTAACGGACCTGGTCCTTGTCAGGATGACCACAGGTTCAGCCAGAGCTATGGGCCCTGGACAGTAAATAACAAATAAACTAAATAATAACTTCAAACTCAAGATTCTCACTCTCATTGAGTCGAACTCTTTTCAGTACGTACTATTCTGTAAACAAGTACAATTTTGATATCACTCACCCTTAATTACTCCTACGTAATTACAATAATATAATAGGGGCAGACAGATAGAATCCCAAACAGGCTGCAGTACCTTACGGATCAGCCCACTTTACTGGAAGTCAATGCAACCGTCCCAGACGAATTCACAAGTATCAACCTTACCCTGTTTCTAACTGTACTCAACTTGTGTAGAATTTGCATGTACAGTACTGCCCAAAACAACAGGGCATTGGAAGGCCAGTTTAATTGGTTAAACTAGGTTTGGGCTGACTCTCCACTTCCTATCTAGATTAGTCCATTTCTCATCACCTTGGTGACCCTGGGGAAACCCCAAATTCTGTTACAGTATCAAGCTATTTTTGGTCAGGGTACTAGATCAAGGACCATGTGGTTGGTAGGGGTCCTGCAGAGGGTGGAAGGTTGGCTGTTTTTAGCCACTCAATGCATTTGTGCCACTATATAAATTCTTGATGCCCTTGAATTTTCATCAGATTTATTTCAGATATTTTAAAATTTTCAGATAATGTTTGTGTACAATTGCATTGACCTTGCACCAGGCAGTAGCTACCTCTTACAGGTGGATGCATCACCAATTCCTACTAAAGAACTAAAAACTACACAATGGTATAAGGTTATCACTGTCCCTAGTAAGTACCATTAACAATGTAGTTAGATTTATATAGTGCTTTACATTGGAAATGTTTCAAAGCACGAGGGCTTTTTTTTTTTTTTTGCAAAAATTTGGATGGGCTTCTTTACGAGATGGGCTTCTTGCTACTTTTGTAAAGTAAAGAGGTGGGCTTCTTTTCAAAATGAATGCTGAAAATTTTGTGAATTTGTACTATAAAACAATAAATAAGGCAACTGTAACATCAATGTTTCATGGAGTGTATTTAACTGGCAATAGATCGCCTAAACTACTTGTATAAACCAAGCTTGTATTCAATTTATTACACAATCTCGAAAAGAAGCCTATGCTATCTTGAAAAGAAGATGGTCGGAAATGGCCCTCTCAGACTTAAATTTGAATATAATTTTCCCGAAAAGTTCCAGGAGACTTGAGACCCTGCTAGAATGCATTTTTTTTTTTTTATATGGCAAACTGTGGCAGAATATAAAATAAAATAATCCTGAAGAGTTTCGCAACCCTCTGAATTATGTGGCGACCTAATTTTGAGTCGCAACCTATAGTTTGAGAACTGCTGGTGTAGAGTAATTCTCTTTTTTATATTTATAGAATTGATTTTCTCGGTTGTGAATTGTACAAAAAAGGGTAAGTATAGGTTTTTTGGATAAAAATAGGAAAATAAGGCATTTCATGAGGAATCTCCAAATTCTTCATGACTTAGTAGTAGAGCCAACTTTTTAAGTGACTGGATCTTACAACTACTTCAGATAAGGCAAGACCCACCGATTGCCAATAATGATGATTTCGAATAAAAATAAAAATGTTATTTTTGGCCAATTAGCGCACCCGCTACCACAAAAATTTTCTCCTACGTCTGGATGTTTTTGGCCAAACCATTTGCTAAATAAGAAAACAAAAATAAATTTATATTTTTTTTCCGCACTCCTCTGACGATCTTTAAAGTCCAACTAAAATGACATATTGTAGTTACTTTTAAAGCGTCATAAAACAATAAAGAATTATTTAATAAATATATATCGATGGCTTTCCTTTTATTTTTAGATAACATGTTTTTCTGAATCACCTATTTTAATGAATTCTGTATCGCTAAGCTCTGCCTTCTGAATCTTACCCACATTTGACCTTTACCGGATATGACATACACATGGTACAACATAACACAGGATGTTCGCGGGATCGCGACTCTTGGCAACACAAGCATATTAGATAGTAGGATTCACGGGTTTACGATATTTTCAGTTAAGGCCTAGGGTAATCATCCCTGGAAATTTGGAGAGTAATTATTAAATAAACATTCAAAACATATTAGGAGCCCTCGAAATTAGCGTCGGCATCACATTATGACCACAACGTAAGAGCGAGGATGCGAGTAGGCGTAGGCCTAGCTAGGCTCTATTCTCTGCATTCACCCCATACCACGGAGCCTGTACTCGCTACATACAGCAAATGTGTTTTAATAAAACATTAAAACTATTTGTTTTTACTTACTTTATTATAAGATGATTAAATATCTTACACAAAATACACGCCTGTAATGTTATTATGACAGACGAGGTTGTTTACTTTTTGCTAGAATACGTCGTAGTAAGGTGGATCACATGCTTTCTACGTCTTTCTCGATGTTCTTCGCTCGATCGGGGCCGCTCGGCACAAATTTGTTTTGACTTAATATTAGTGATGATTAGGGGTTTAATTACAGTATCTTAAAAAAATATATACACGCATATTTTATGCTATGTTATGAGGGACGAGGTTGTTTACTTTTTGCTTCAAAGCATACTTCTCACATGTTCGCTACAACATGGTCTTCCTTCAGATGTTCTTCGCCGACGCTCGAACGGGGCCAACTCGACCTGATTTAACGGTGTTTGGACGTTTTGTGACGACGTTAATAAAGTGTTTGAATGAAATTTAAATTTTATTTGTTTTGTTGTGATGATTTATCCTACAATAAAATACAGGCTTAAGCTTAGATGCTGTTTTGATTTTTGTGATAAATGAACGATGTTTTAGGAGGGAATTGCTGCATGTTTTTGACGTAGACCTCATACACAGTACAACGTCGTCTTCAAGTGTAGTCATTAAAAAATTACGCGAGGAGTGAAAAGAGTACAAATATTTCTAGCTTATCACTTATATTTGAAAATTTAACACAATGATTTAATAATTGTTTAATGATTGAATTTTATACTACTGTACCTTGAAGTTAAATTACTTTTATTATTAAAACAGTAAAATTATACATCAACACAAAAGTCAATCCTGCTTCGTGGCCCGCTTCGTGGTTCAACTTTGAGTCGTAACGTGCGAACCAATTCGGGGACTCCGCATGTGCTTTTATTTGCTGTCCGATTTGATCGTGTGTTCTTCAGTAAAGGGTTTTAAAAGAATAGAAATTCCTGTTTTCACAAATACACTTATAATTTTGGAAAGATTTTATTTTCGTAAACCACGAATTTATGGGTATAATCATATACTGTCTGAAACCTGCTGAGACTCAAAATACAAAAACTGCCGAGGAACTATGTCAAACTTGCGTCGTCAATTTTTGCCATGGTCCTTTCGTTACAATTTCAAGGCCTGTATATTGGTAAGTATCACACCGGTTGTACATCAACATAATAACAACCAAAATAATAAATTTAGCTTTTTATTGAAGTCGATAACATGAAAAACAACCAGGCAATTTACAATGTGACTTGATGATGATCGCCGAATCGGCTTTGTTTACTATCATCATCGTAGGCGTAGACCGTGTAGGCCTACAATACATCAAATTTCAGATTCGTACGTTACATTGTAACGTAAAAACTTTGCAAAATAAGCTTTAATATACAGACTGTAAGCTAATTTAGATGATAAACAATGTATTTTATTACTAATAATATTAGCCATATTACGCTGACGAGTGTTCGTGCTGTTACTCTGCTTAGGCCTAGTCCGTCGAGCCTAGAGTAGGACAGTATAGTATAGTGCTCAAAATTCATTAGTGTTGCCCAATCGATTTTGTTTTTTTAAAAAAGCCTGGTCTTCAATTCTTTCTTCAAATTTGCTTTCTAGTGGCTTAAATTAATAAAGCTGCTCCATTTCTTGCTTCCTTCTTTAGATGGGTACTTCCCAACTGAACCTCTTTCATATGTCGTGCTATACGATGTTTGTATTACATAAACAGGATGGCTGTGATTGTTATACCGACTCTACGTCATCAGCTCTACTCACACTTCAATGAATATCTCCAGTGGGCGGCCTTTTACTAATATTTTAAACTGTCATTTTTAATATTTATAAACCAAAAATTAAATATTTTATTACCACTCATTTGTTAAACATATGTAATACTTCAGTAATCAGCAACTTAAAAAGCATCATTTTAATTGGACTTTAGAAATATAACTTCGCGAAACAAGGTATAAAATAAGTCTTGTCTAAGGCTATTTGAAGCCCTTGTCAATACAGAATTTTTGCGCAATTTTAGGGTACTTCACCTAATTATTATTAATAGCAATTTAGGACTACTTTTATGTGCAGCTTTTCATCATGTTTTATTTTTTGTATTTATAGTATACAAAATTTAACAAAGTGCTTTTTTCAAGTTATTTGTTTTTAAAGCACATGGGCAGATCCCTGTCTCTTATACACATCTAGATGTGTATAAGAGACAGATCCATTATTTTTATAACATTTTTTTATTACTATAACAGAAGATGCCACTGGATGGACTTCGGATTATGTAAACATAACAACTTGGTACAGATCGTTTGCTCTTGAATTTGCTGTGGCCCCTCCCTCCTGCGGACTTGAAACTTATATATTATTTATTTCCAAATTTGAGGACCTTAAATTAATCTATAAAGGTTATAAATCTGTAGTAAGTATTTAGTGTTTTTTTTTTTTTAAATTCATCTATTTCTTGTATTTGTAGGATGCTAGCATGAAATTCTCCCCCCCCCCCCCAAAACCCCCCAAAAAAATACTCGCACTATAGGATCACGATCAAATGCCTGAGGGAACCTTACTATAATCCTTTTTAGTGCGTCATACATTTTTTAAAATTGAACAATTAAATTATATGCTATTTTTTCCTTTGTTTTTGGCAGAATTGTTTTGCAAAATGAGTAAAAACAAAATTTATTTTTTTAAATTTTTGTTATTGTTTTTTTTTTCTATTTTTTTTTTTAATTGTTACGCCTGTACAAACAATACAGGCTAATTTGCCTAACAGCTGGCAAACCAAATTTGCATAGCTTGATCTAGGATATATCAGTGTTTTAGACCGTTAGTTGAAATTCGCTGCTTAGAAAACCCAGCAATGTGAATTATTATTTTTATTATTATTAGACAGGCTTAATATGTAGTTTATGAATAACGGATTGGATTGGGTTTATTCGGTGTAAACACTAAGCCCACGAAAGTCTAAAAGAAGACTTATTTCCAGTGGGGTCCTTCTGGTGGTAATTGGGCAGTACACCGGGAGACAATCCCCTACTTTTTTCCCGAAGAGTGTACTGCGTTTCTTAACATGCACATGGGCCATAAATGCACACGGACCAACGTCTCTTCCAAAAAACGGTGCGCTATTATAACTTGTATTTCAGCCCTCCAGCTGAAAGACAAGGAGAGGCAGCGATGGGAATTGAACCAGGGACCTAGAGATCTTTAAGGTTCAGCATATAAGTTTGATAGTGTGGCAGAGCTTAATGTACAGTGCAATTTTCTCCTACAGAAAAGTTCACAAGCAACACCCAAGTTCATTAATGGTGAATTGAAAAATGTTGTCACAGTGAATTTTACTAATGCTACATATGTTGGAACGTACCAGGTTAATGTGAGTGAAGATATTGTTTTACAAATATAATTGTCACTTCTGTCTGATTGCTTGAAAGCCTGGCACACGGCCGTTGCGTTTCTATAAATACCGATTGTGATAAGGTGCGTGCGACCAGTTGCTGCTAATGACTATCCAATCAGATTGCTGCTGACAGCAGACGCCATCGCATAGTCACAGAGCGCAGATGGGTACACCGACTGTAACGCTGTGTGCTGGCTTTAGAATAATACAATGAATTTTGTAACAACACACCCATCATTCAAAAACCAACTTACAAATCAATTAATCTCTAGATCAACTAATTGATTGATAAAGATTAATTGATGGATCAATCAATAGCTTGATCAGTATATTATTGATCAACCAATTAATAGATCATTAGTCAACAACAGTTTAATCAGACAATCATTAGGTCATTCAATCATATTAATCTGTCAATCAATAAATCACAGAAATCAACAGATTCATCCAATCAATAAATCAATTAATCAATAGTTCAATCTATAGATCAATCACCAATTTATCAATTATTAGATCAATCAATAGATTAATCAATAGATCAATCAACAGATTAATACATGAGTAGATCAATCAATATATCAATCAGTCAATAGCTCAATCAATAGATACACCACTGTTAATAGATCAATCAATAGATCAATCAGTAGATCAATTAATAGATAATTGAGTCAAAGTCTGAACAATATTTAACACAAATGTAAATGTACAAAACATAAATATAATATTAACATTAATAGATCAATCAATTGATCAATTAGTATATCAATTATTTAAAAAATTCATCAATCAATAGATCAATAGATCAATCTATAGATCAATCAAATGATATAAAAATTATTAGATCAATAAATGGATTAATTAATCAATAGATCAATCAACAGATTACATCAGTAGATGTAGATCAATGAATGTATCAATCAGTCAATATATCAATCAATAGATAAATCAATAGATTATTAATTTATCAATTAATATATCAAATAATAGATTAATCAATATATCAATCATAGATCAACCAATAGATCAATTAATAGATCAATCGATATTTCAGTCAAACAATAGATCAATCAGTCAATCAGTAGAGCAACCAATTGCTCAAACCAACAGATCATGAGATTAATCATTAGATCAATCAATAGATCAATGGATTGATCAATCAATAGATCAATCAATGAATTAGGTTGTAATTCTATGCATTTCAATTTTTACTGTGAGAAACTTTTTTTTAAATACAGATGCAGCCATTCTCAGATAGTAGTGACCCTGTTTGCTTTGACTTTTACAATGAGGCAACTGTATGTCGAGAAACACGTTTTCCGACTTTTCAAATTCTAGGTATAAGAGAAGCGTGTTACATATAAGGAATGCTAATTGTACTACTATATCGCATGCATGCTCATTTCTATTTTAGAGTAGATTTGGATTCATACCTAGGTGATACGCATGGTAGTAGATGTGATATTTTGTATTAGATGAGGTTACATTAGAGCTCTGGTTCTCAATCCCTTTACCACTGACTGCAATTATCAAAATTTGGTTAGGTTATGGGTTGACTGTGCCCTTTACAAAAGTGCTTTATAGAATTCATTGCTTTATATTATTTATACTATCACTCAATATAATTTTATGATAATAGTAAGTTAATGATATTAATGTTTAATAATATTCAATGATAATAATATTAAATAATGATAATTAATTTACATTTATTTTGTGGCAGTATCCATCTATGGTAATGCTCATAGCGTGTATATTTTTTCTGGTCCAGCCGGGGTCCAACCGAGGGTCCAGCTGAGGGTCCAGCCAGGGAGCATCACCTGTACCAACTTATAAACACATACATTTTCCCTTATCCCACCAAAATATCATGAGGTGATGTTTGCAACATTTAAGTAACACTCTGAGTGTAATTGTGCTTGATCTAACGTATTGTTACTAATAACTTAACTAGACTTTTAATCTTAAATCATTGTCATAATTATTTGTTATTATCATATAATTGCATATTTAATGTATATTCTGTCTTCAAAATCAAAATCATTTTGATGAGAGCTTTCTGTCAGTTAATATCAATCATGCTTGATCCATCCGGAGAAGTATTAACACTGTCCAGTGCAGGCCCATAGGCAGGGAGAAGGGGTGCAGAGTGCGTGAACCCCCCCCCCCATTTCCAAATTTCAAAAAGGTCCATTTTTTTTAAAGCTATTACTGTATAGTAACTATAATTGACTAAAATCATTTGTAAATATTGCAAAATGCTTTGTATACATTGAATTTCATTTGCCAGTAGTAACTTCCCCAAACTTCCCCAAACCCCAACCAGGGCTCTGCTCCTGGGCCCCATTGGGGGCCATGGGCGGCCCCAGCCTAAGGCTATAGTTTGCTCCCAAAATTCCCCTCACCCTCCCTATCAAACATCCTGCCTATGGGCCTGATGCATTGAACCAATTTGCCGTTAAAAAATTGCCTGCCAGAAGTAGTACTCATGTGCCATAATAATTATTATGAAAGAATATTAACATGATTTTATAGGCAGACTAATTATTAATCTACCTATAAAATCACGTTAATACAAATACCGTATGAACTTTAGTTCAGTGTACCAGTGCCGAAACTAGGCACCCCTAAAACTTTGGCTCTTATAGGGAAACCACTTGCGAAATCATAGTTATAGGCTGGATAAAGTACAATTACAATACTATGCATGAAGTACATTGAAGGCTTGCCATTCCAAAACCAGCAAACTGTTGTTAGCATGAGAATGTGGCAGAGATGTATATTTCTAGTACAGAGGAGATGTACATGGGTGTATGCAAGGGGGGAGGGGGGTTGTTAAGGTTTTCCAACCCCCCTAAAAAAAAAAAAATTTCAAAGGTCCACATTTTTTCCAAAGACATTTTTTTCTAGGGCCTTTTCACAATGACAAATGAAAAAGCTTTGATGAGGTACCAGCAGTGAGTCCAAAGACATTGGCAATTGCGTGACGTAATCTATCTCAATTCCAGCAATTCTGAAACTGAGCCTGCCATCTGCTTCAAGCTGGTGGCGCTGTAATCGATTTTCCTGTGTCCCACTGAAAAGGTCCAAAAAATTACGATACGACCCACCCTGAAAAATCCTGGATACACCACTGCTGTAATACTTTTCTCATAATTATTGTATAACATACCACAAGGAAAAGGAGCATAATAAATGCCCGTACAAGTAACAAAAATATCATGTCGTTTTTCTTTTCGTCATTCACATAAAATAATACAAAGATAAAAACAATGACATATAAAAACAATGACAACCCCACTTTAGTTGTAGTAAGTCAATGCCAGTAAATGACCTATCATTTTGAAGTTCATAATGTCGCAAATATGAATATGGTGTAATGTCAATTTTCTTGTTTTGGTCGCTGAATGTTGGTTTTGGTATGGAAAGCCCCATTTCATGAATATTCATGCCTCATTTGTTTGTTTTAGCTGAGACCTACATACTTAGATGAACACTGTAGCTGTAAAACTACAAGCTTTCCAATTGTTCAAGTATATGGTAATATTGATTGTTGTTCTAGATTTTTGTTGAAAGATGTACTGTCTGGCATGAGCTAAAAAAAAATCGTAAAATTTAATTCCATATTTGAAAAGCTTAACATTTATGAGTATTATTAACATACAATTAAAGATTTGAAATAGAGAAAAACTTCAATTAACAGACAGTTAAAATATCTTTTGTTGTATTCTTGTGCAAACACCCTTAAATTGACTGGTAATATGGTAATATATTTAAGGATTTTTGTAGTAAAATATCAGCAAAAACATTTAAAAAAAAAATATATTTGGATGTTATTATTTAATACTTAATAATAAGCCATTAAAAATTTCAATTGAATATTTGGTGTTTTTTCCGATTTTTTTTTTATTGGCAGACAGTGTATCTTTAAATCATTTTTACTGTTGTTTCTCTGTGTTTAAAGCATGTTATACCATTTTTGCATTTTATGTTCAGATTTCTGGATATGGCAATGAAATTACCACCCTTAAGCAAAAAAACAGTATAATAACTGTTATAGGTATTGTAAAAATTATTTTGTCAATTTTGGTGGCGGAGACTAACACTTCACTAGGATAGCATTTAGAGTATATTATTTGATACAATAAAAAGAAGCAAATGGAACAGGTAAATTATATTCTTTATTTTTCATATGATTTGAATAAAATATTAAAAATGTATTGTCCCCTGAACATGACAAAATATCATTAAAAAATAATTTTTAAATTAACTTGCTCATTTTGCAGTATACAAATTATTAACTTGAGCATGGAAATTATTGAACTAAAAAAAATGTGTACCCTGATTTTTATAGTAATAGACTTCCAGTGAATGGATGTGTCAGGGTCAGATGCTTTTAAATACACTAATTCAAGTAGATAATGTAATGTGATAATGATAAAAATAAGCAAGTTAATTTCAAAAAATTAATTTTTATGAATATTTTTGTGTTTTACATGGGACAATAATATCTTTAACAATTAACTTTTTTAAATGATTGTTATAGGTATAGTAAAATATTATTTTATCAGTTTGGTGGTGGTGACTAACAGTAGAGTAGCATTTAACAATAGTATTTAATTTGATACAGTAAAAGACCCAGTGACTAGGGAAAAGGAAGCACTTTGTATTTACAAAGAAAAGGCACTATATAAAAATAATATGAAGGATAATAACAAGAGCACTCAGTATAGAGACCATATCTTCACCCACCGCTAATCCCTTTCTATAAAATAAATATCTTCCAAAATATGTTCTTAATTTACTTCACTACCACCCCACCTCACTTCACTCCACTTCAAAAACGCACAGTAACTCACTCACACGGTTTTTATTTCAAAGAGGGGCACGATTTCCACTTTTGGTATAGGTTTTTGGGTCTTTTTGACTCTTTTTTTTAATGTGACACACACACACACACACAAAGTTACATGACTGAAAACATATATCTCCTGGCGGAGATAATGATAACATAACAGGTAATTGGAGTACTTTCATAATATGCTCTGAAGCAGATGTTAACAGTATAATAATTTAAGGTTAAAAATCCTAACTTTTTTCTGTCTATTCCATCATTTTGGTTGGCAATTTGTTTTTATGGTAAATACTTACCATAAAATTTAATAAGGTAAAACGTTCTAACACAAGTATGTTTTCTTAGTAATCCGTTCACATAGTCAGATTCTATTGAGTTTTAGATAGTAATAGCCGTAGTATTCTGAACCACCTGTACTTAATTTTTAGTGTACAATTAAGTACACGCCTCCTTCCAATTAAAAACCACTTTTTTAACCAAGGTTTTCATGGTCGTTAGCAGCTTTAGAATTATAAAGATAAGACATTTGTGGCAAAGACAAGCCAAACCAGTCACTCGTCGCAAAAATCGATTTTTAGTTATTAATACAGTGTTAGATAGTAAAATAATAGCTATAAAATGGTAAAAAAATCACTCAAATTGGACATTTCCTTATGAAGTTACAAGCGTTTAACCACACAGCTGTTTAAAGAACAATGAGAAATTAGCCGTCAAAGTTTATGATTTCAGGCATTTCTCATGCAGAAACTATCTTTAAATCCTTAAAAAGTATTGTTTTAACATTGAAAATGGGGAAAATAACAGCATAGAATGATGTGTAGATATATAAAGGTTAGTTTTGTACAATAAAATAGATTTATAAAACTTTGACATTCCAGCATGTTTTAGCCATTTTCTCTGAAACACGATTTGCGACGAGTGACTGGTTTGGCTTGTCTTTGCCACATTTGTTAATTTGGGACCACAGAAAAGTGGTCTTTAATTGGAGGTGGTCTTGAATTAGATGGAGAACCTGTATTTGTATATGTAAAATTCCTGATTTTATTATCAGATTCACCATGTAAAGCAGATATGTGCCAGAATGGCACCTGTATTCCTGTTGGATTCACCGAGAACTACCACTGTATTTGCAACGATCCCTACTTTGAGCATGAAGGGAAATGTGTTGGTAAGTGACATTTTAGCCAGTTGTCAGTTAACATTGTTCAACAGAAAGAACACAACACGAGGAAGCACGCACATGGATTGTTTAAATGACAATCTATTTAGTTTGCCATCTGCAATTAGCATACAGCATCACATCCTCAAGTGCTTACAGAGAGCGGAGATGAATTTGTCGGCCGATCGTCTTACGGCGCATTGTATCCCTGGCTTCGTTATTCTGACATTTTCACAAAACGAAACAAGAAATAAAAAGCAAATAATGAAAATCAAAGAGGAAGAAATATAAATTATGAACAATCAGCATTTTTATGTTTAACTTTTTAAAGAATTAAACAGTTACTCTTAAATGAAATATGAGAATGAAATTAATAATATCAGAAAGTGTTCCTCTATTGCTTCCATGCAGAACTAAATATTAAAACCCCATTAAAGGATATTTGTTTATGTTTGCCAGTACATATTCTAATACCTGTGACCTCCCTTGTATTGATAAAAAGGATGATTCTTTTGAACAGAAACTTGCTTTATAATGATATGATCCAAACCTGTGTTAACACTCCAAACACTATTTTTACAACTGGGCTGTGTGTTCTGTAAAAAAAAAATAGTGTGATACTTTACTTTACAGATATGTAATCTTGTAAAATAACTAATGTTTTCCCTTTGTTTGATCTGTTGTGCAATATATTTTTTTTTTTGTATTTTTTCATGTATTTTTTTTTTTCATTTTTACCCAAATTTTAACCATGTTTCTCTTTTGTCTTTTGTCTATATTCTTATTCGTATTATTATATTTCAAATATTATTAATAACTTGGTATCTGGATGGGCTTCTTTTCGAGGCTACTTTTGAAATATAAAGAGTTAGGCTTCTTTTCAAAACGAATGCTGTAAATTTTGGGAATTACAGTACTCTATATAACAATAAATAGGGCGACTGTAACGTTAATCTATATCATGGAGTGTATTACCCGGCATTAAATCACCTAAACTAAACTATAAACCAAGCATGTCTTTAATTTATTTTCTTTGTTTAAAAGTCATGTGCACTGTATGTGTACTATCTTGAAAAAAAAAAGCTCATAATTATGCTATCTTGAATAGAAGCCCATGGGCTTCTTTTCGAGGCTGCTTTTGAAAACTAAAGAGGGGGCTTCAATTCAAGATGGGCTTCTTCTCGAGATTATGCACATTGGGCTTCTATTCAAGGTTTTACTACAGTATATATATTTAACAAATTTATGTTGGCCTATAGTGTTAGTCCAGATTTAACAATGGAAAAAGTTGTTAATCTTAAGTTATTGACATTCTGGAAAGGTCAAGTCATTTTCAACCAAGAGAATTATTACTATACAGAAGTTTTGTTAACTGACAATTTTTTTGTTGTATTTAAACAGATAAATATCCACCACTAGTGGCTTGTTGATTTTTTTTTTTTGTATTTAAACAGATAAACATCCACGATTACTGACCTGTCCTGCTGACATCATTAAAGGCACAGGTCAAAAGGAGTCAATAGTGTCCTGGCATGAACCAACAGTTGACACCGATATCTCAGCTGCTTTCGAATGTGATCCATCTTCTGGTTCAGATTTTAGTATTGGTACAACTAACGTTACTTGTTCTGCTACTGATGATGTTGGAAATATGAGGAGCTGTATATTTTCTGTTGAAGTTTATGGTATGCCACATGTAATTCTTAATTATGCTTGATTTGTAGGTGACATTAAAATGTGCACACAATTTACTGATGTATTATCTTTTTGTGCAGATATTTTAAAATGAAACCCTAATAATAATAATAATGCCAAGTAACTATATAGTGCCAATTCCAAATGGATGGTCAAAGGCACTGAGTGTTATTACCCCTGGTCAATGGATAACATACAATGGCAAACCAGCACAAACCTCCTATGCTCCCTGGGAAGTCTAGTACATTCAATGCCACAACATATTATACAGTACCCATTTATACACCTGGGTAGAGAGAGACAAACATAGATAATTGCCTTCCCCAAGGACACAGGCGACTTGCACAGTGAGAGTTTCGAACCCCTGACCTCTAGTTTGGGAGTCCATAATCCACAACCGAAATGCCAACTGCTTCTATTTGTCCTCGAACGTTTTACCAATAACTTACTGTAGTGTATTCTATAATTCTATAAATGAAACATTTGTATATGAACCACCGTTCCCATAGTGGTCTTGTTTATTAATATATGATAGGAGTGATTTTTTACCCTACCTGATGTTACTTAATGAAAACATTTCCAAATACTTGGGAAATAATTTGGAAGTGATTTTAATCAAAAAATTATGATTATAATATCTTACCACTCTCCTTCTTGTTACAGTACTAGTAAATTATTTTTATTAGTATATTTTTTATAAATTTTTTTGCAAACCCGCCCGCCCGTCAATTGATGATTTTGAATAAAAATAACTTTTATTTCTGGCAAATTAGTGCACTCAACCGCCACAAAAAACTAGACATTTTTTTTCTTTATTTTTATTACGACCACCGCTGCCTTGAAATCTGTTTACATTCAACAATAAAATTCTATTTTTATTTTCGCCTCCGTCTGGATGTTTTTGGCAAAACCATTTGCTAATTAAGAAAACAGAATTTTATTTTAATTTTTTTTTGCCCTCCTCTGAGGACCTTTAAAAAAATAAGTTCACAAAATAAGGTATAAAAAAAACCTTGGCTAATGATTAATTGCCCGGCATGCTTTCAGTGTTATGTTTCTATACATGCTAATTACTATACTACAGTATTATGGTTGTCCATCTATTTCAGAGAATGTAACTACTGGTATTTTTGCTTTTTTAACTATTAATTAATGTTTTCTTTAATGGTTTATTCTTTATGGTTTTTCCTTCTATCAATTCTGTGTATTTTGGTGGTTAAGATGCTTTTTAATGCACATGTGGGCAAAGTGTGGTCCGCGGGCCTCATGCGGCCCAACAGTAATTTTTTCGCGGCCCGCAAAAGCAAATTAAAAACCCTATGTGTGCGGCCAGCCAACTGCCTTTGCTAAAAAAAACCTTTTTTATGGCCCGACACCGATGATCTATAAAAAGTAATTTTAAAACTGATAATTAAGTGGTATAAAAGCAGTTCATGAAGGTTTTTGGAAGTACACTGGAACCATCAAAATTTGGATGCGGCCCTCAGCGTTAAATCAAAAATTCAATTTGGCCCTCTGACCGATTTTTATGCATACCCCTGATTTAATGCTTTCCGTCCAAGGGTCCAGGGTTTACATCCTGTCACTGCAGGATTTTTTTCTCACTCCCTAAGCTTCATAAAAGAAACTTAGTTTATAAAGCATTGGTCCATCATGTGACAAGAATGTTTGCTGTTGGATATGAAGGAAATAAAAAGAATTATAAGTCATTGGCCATATTTGACTGGTCGTTCTTCGTTACACCACGCCTACCTGCGCAGTGGTAAAACCTTTCTTAATGAAGACGACCATACGAATAGAAAACTGGTAGATGCTCAACAAAACAAAATGGCTGCGTAGTTACTACAATACACGCTAGCGTAATCAAGGTTGCTTCGACTTGCGGTAGATTAGTTTTATTGCAAAAAAAAACTTTTTCACATAGTTCCTGAATTATGTTAGCCTACAATTATTTTTTTTTAAATATGTGAGTAAATATATAATTATTAATTTCTGAAATTTAATCTAAATTATATTAACACAAATGTAGTTGCTAAACTGTCCAATCAGCCATGTTTGGTATAGTCACATGGATAACTTATTGCAAATTAACACACTTCAACAAAGCCTATTATACGAACCAGCTGAATAAAGATAATATTCAACGAAAAATCGTTAAGGAAACGAACCAGTCAAATAAGCCCCGGAATGGTGAATGTAAAGTTCAAGAATACGTGTTTGTGGGACCAGCGGACACTATTCTGATTGGTCAGTTGTTAGGTTTTGATTGACACTTTGGAAGGTCCATTGGAGAAGAGTTAACTGTGTATTAACAGATTGAAGATTATTGGTACTTTGAAAAAGTGTTCTTAAATTAGAGTGGGATCACGAAAATGGAGGAGTCTCGAATTGGAGAGCAAACTGTAATTGATTTCCAACTTTGTATTTTAACAGATGCTGGATCACCTTCTCTGATATGTCCTGATAACATCATAATAGGCACAAATCCAGGGCAGTCAACGGCAACAGTGACCTGGAGTGACCCAACAGTTACCGACAATATTGACACGTCTGATCTTCTAGCTATCTGTACTCCACCTTCTGGTTCATTATTTAATGTTGGCTTAACTGATGTTAATTGTTCTGCTAAAGATAATGTGGGAAATGAGGGGTACTGTATATTTGGTGTTGATGTGTTTGGTAAGATTGTGTAAAAGATTAGATATTTCACAGATATGTACAACACTTGATAAATATCCTTCCCTGTCAGAACCCTACTCATTGTACATGGCCTCTTGAGGTCTTCAGACAAAATATTTTGCAGTTAAAATTTTAAGTATTGTTTATCTAATTTAAATGTTCACTTCAAAGCCTAACACCAAGCCAATGAGCAACCACTAATTGCCAATGACATACACGGATGTATCTAGGGGGTGTGTGTGGGAGAACATGTGCACATCCCCCACCCCATAAAAAAAAAAGCTTGTCATCTTCTTCCTCCAGTCACCCCCACTAGAAAAGTTTGAAGCAAAAATTTAAGTTAAGTTAAAATATCATCTCTTATTTAGTGCCCCCTCTTCCACTTAGATTATTACTAAAGCATCATTTCAATACTTTTAGGTATGCCACTACAAGAAACACAATTGAACATTGTTTCTTCCATAGATTTTGGCACTTTAAACGTTCATCTTGATTAATTGATTGATATTTTTTTTTAATGTTTGGCTTGCATCTCTTTAGTAAAAAATGTCTGTTTATTCTTTATAAAAATAACTTTATTACAAATTTAAGGAAAATTTAAAATGTACAGAACAATTTGAAGTATTAATATTAAATATGTTTAAAATATTTAAAAAACTCCAGTTAAATTAGAATAAGAAAGCAGGAGGACACATTACAACATTAAAATACAAAAGAAAAATGTACAAAACGTGAAAAACAGTAACAATCAAAAAGGGCAGAAATAAGGGAGACATAGTAATGAACAAATATACTGAGTACTCATATTTGTCTCTATGTTGATCATTACTTTAATTTAACTCAAAACACTCCAACAATGTTCTTTTGTATATAAAAGAACAGCTTAAACTCAATTCTTATTTATGTTCTAAATTTACACTTAACAATGAATTACATGACCGTTATAGTACCAGAATCTCAAATAAACTCCACATTCCCAAACACAAAAAACTTATTTCAACATAATATTAGATAATAATAATATTCATCATCCAAACAAACTTTCATTTCTAAATTGAAAATATTATCATTACTATTATTATCATTAAAAATGTTTGTCATCTTTTTATTAATTTGTTGTTAAATGTTTTGGGCACATCCATCACAAGCTCTGCTTTTAGGAATTGTGCCCCCTTAATATATTTATCTTATTTATTTGTTACATTTCAAAGAAGATTACGTTTTGAAGGGAATAATTGTTTTTGAATTGAATTGAATTTAGTTGTAGTTACTAGAATGTATTGAATGTATTTTTCATTTTGTTTTTAAACAGATGATGTGCAACCGGTAGTTAATTGTCCTACAGACATCCGACAAGTATTGGATCCAGGCCTATCAACCAGCGTTGTGACCTGGAATGACCCTGACGTTACCGACAATGTTGATACTGGTCTATCATCTTCTTGTACTCCATCTTCTGGTTCATCTTTTAATATTGGTTTAAATAGCGTTACTTGCACTGCTACTGATTCTCGGGGAAATAGTGACAGCTGTATATTTTCTGTTTTTGTTTACGGTATGATTGTATCTTAATTTTTAAGCTTTTCAAGTTTTTTTTTTCAATGTTTTGGGCACATCCATCACAAGCTCTGCTTTTAGGAATTGTGCCCACTTCATATATTTATCTTATTTATTTGTTACATTTCAAAGAAGATTGTAATTTACGTTTTGAAGGGAATAAATGTTTTTGAATTGAATTGAATTTAGTTGTAGTTACTAGAATGTAATGAATGTATTTTTCATTTTGTTTTTAAACAGATGATGTGCGACCGGTAGTTAATTGTCCTACAGACATCCGACAAGTATTGGATCCAGGCCTATCAACCAGCGTTGTGACCTGGAATGACCCTGACGTTACCGACAACGTTGACACTGGTCTATCATCTTCTTGTACTCCATCTTCTGGTTCATCTTTTAATGTTGGTTTAAATAGCGTTACTTGCACTGCTACTGATTTTCAGGGAAATGATGACAGCTGTATATTTTCTGTTGTTGTTTACGGTATGATTGTATATTAATTTTTCAGCTTTTCAAGTTTTGCTTTGCTTCATTAACTGATGTTATACTTTTTTCTCAATTCCATTTTGTCACAAATCAATCCATCATTCAATCAATCAACATGGATTTATATAGTGCAATATCCAATGTTCAGTTGCACTATGACAATGGCATTACTCAAAGTGCACATTAACTACTGATGTTAATTAACAAAGCTTGTAAGATTATGAAAAATTTTTTTTTTTTAATACAAAAACAATTTACATGTTTGTGAAAAATATGATAAAATACAGTACAAGCAACTAAGTTACAAATGCTGGCCTGAAAGAACTCCAAATAGCTAACTCATGCACTTTCAAAGGGGAGTTCCAATCATCAGCAATTATTTATATAAAAACAACATTATTCAAAGACATTATACTAAGCAAAAGCTATTCTTTCTGGTCATGTTGTGATGTCATCATGACCATATTTAGGCATGTCACATGTTTTAGTCAAATAAAATCTCAGGTCAGAGCTTTAACAACTGAGAATGTTGTAAATTGTGAATAGTTGATTCAGTATCCAGTGACGAGAAAAAAAAACTTGTAGATGTCCAGTTCCTTTTTAAATTGAAATAAAAATGTTGGCTCCTGCTGCTCAAATATTTTTTAGACAATAAAGGCCTGAATATGGAATTAAAATGTTTATTCTTGTAATAAATACTGTAGATAATGAGACTCCAACATTCCATGGCTGCAAACAGTTGCAACCTAGCATCAGTAACAAGACAGCTCTTGGCCAAGAAATGTGTCCCATGTTTTGGACAGCTCCATTTGCAACTGACAATGTGAGAGTAGCAAATGTTACAGCATCCAATAATCCTGGTAACATGTTTCATGTGGGTAAAACGCCGGTGACATACACAGCAACTGATGATAGTGGGAACACAGCTATCTGCTCATTTGATGTCATTATTAAAGGTGAGATGTTTTTTTTTTTTTAAATTCTACAGTACTTGTTACTTTTTTACTTGTAAAGCTCTTTTCCTTGCAGTTACGATGCGCTGTTATCCGCTAAAGTCAACAAAATCCCCACGAGTGCATAGAACCAAACAAAGTGTGCAAACTTAAATAATGCAATAAGGCAATAACTTGAAGCAAAAAGTTTGTTAGAAAAATAAGCGAACAAACAAAACAATAAAACAAATAAGATCTTAGGTGAGAGGAAACTATTGAAATAGGTGTGTTTTTAGATGGGCTTTGAACTGCCTAAGCGAAGCGCAAGACCTGAGAGAATTAGCAGACCATTTCAAAGTTGGGCAGCAATTGAAGGAATTGAATTGTCACCAATCCGTTTATGTTAGACCGGTATAGCTTTATTGTATAATGAGGATAGATTAACATAGTGCTTTATACTGAAATGGTCTCAAAGCGCTTGAGGTGTCACTGAACTAGCTCTAAGAGTAACTTGCTTTTCCCCTAAGGATCTCTTTGTGTCTGTGCTAAACTGAACTGGTACAATGCTACTCTTATCTATCCACAGTAGAGGCTGGATGGACCAGCACACTGGGGTATCCCCCTACTTAAAACATTGTTTGAAAATCTTCATTCATACACAAGATCATGGTCTCTTCTCTTTCTTAGTTGCTGAGGAAAGGACAAGTAATTTTACTATTGCTGTAACCACCGGAGTAGTTGGTGGCATTTTTCTTCTGTGCTTAATAAGTTGTTTATACAGGTATTGTCGTTTGAGACCTCAGAAATTTAGCGAAGGTGAGTATTTATGTATTTTCTTGCAAAAAACTGTTGTTGTATCACTATTGCTGATGTGCTTCAGATTATTAATTCCATGTTGGTTTTTTTTAAATTCATAAAAGATATAAAATTCAACTTTAAATTACTTAAAATAAAATTGTCATGTTTATAAAAATCTGGGATCAGAGCACACATAGGATTTGGGACTGCTTAGTGCTAAAGATAGGGTAATATTGTTTAACTTATGTCGTGTTTATAAAATGTTTAGTAACAACTATCTAACTATCCACTTTATATGAAAAATAATTTCGAAATTCTCTACCTTCCAACATAAAATCTTGTCATACAATTCTCACTTTCAAACTTAATTTATGGTCGAACTGAGAGTTGTGCTGCTAGATGAAAAAAGTTTTGACGTGTGTATTGGTTGCATGGATTGAGAAGAAACATTTTATTTATTTGTTTATTATCAATTTGATAGCATTTAAATCACTTTTGTAACATTCATATTGAAATAATTTTTGTAACATTCATATTTAAATAATTTTCTAGGTTATCAGAAAGCACATGAAGATACAAGGTTTGACTTGCTACCAAAGAGTCCATGTTTGGAATTTAGAGGTACATTTGATTTTTATTTGATTTATTCAATATCAACTCAACAACAACACAATACCTGTATATACAGTATACAAAGAAACAAAACTCAGAAGAGAATGCAAGTCATCTTTGTTGATATCTGAGATAAACCCTCTAAATCCAAACACAGGGTTTATTTCCAGAGTGATCGAACTGTCTTAGTTATTTATTGATTTTCTTCACTCAATTAATTGACTAATGAGGGAAGGCATGACAAAAGATGCTCTATTACCTGAATTTTAAAATTGCTGTAATTAGAGTTGGATTTTATTGCATCAGGCTGTTCTAATCATGGATTCCAGTATAATAGAAAGTGATTTTGCTATTGGCCTTTGGAACATGAAAGTTAAAATTACTTGTGACGATGAAGATTAGATAATTTAGTAAAATTATAATTTAAGTAGTATGGGCGGGTACCATTACAAATTTTAAACATATGGTTTAGTCTGAATTGGGTAGCTCTAGACGCAAGTTTCAGCATACTCATACCGACATTAAATACTATACAATATTTAATCACTATATTTTATGATGTCAATCGTAACATCATCACTACGACCACTAATGTTATTTTCCTATCCCCAACCATACCTTAATTTTTCATTAGTGCACGGTGTGTTTGAGTTTTTTTTTTTCGGTTTGTGTGGCCAACTTGTATGTATTGCCATGTCATGTATGTATTACAATGAATTCTAGGCTAGTGTTTTTACACATAGCACTACAATGATTGTCTGCATTCATTAGTTTTTGCATAATTCTGATTAAAAAAAAGACAAACAGAATACAGTATTGCAGAGAGGTATTTTCTGAAAGTAGAATAACTTTGTGCATGCATAGTTCAATTATTGTTTAAGTTTGTACAACAGTAAGTTTTTTGTTCTCTTGTTTTTGTTATTTTTGATAGTTATTCAACTTAATATTCCCATTTTCTTTCAGATCCAAATCAGATGGCCATTCATGTCCATTCAGTTAAGTTACTAATCATCTATTTTGATGATGTGAAGGAACACAAAGAGGTTGTTTTGACATTTGCTACATTCTTGAAAGCTCACTGTGGAGTTGACGTCATCATCCATGACTGGAATACACCTGACATAGTCTCTCTCAGTTCCTGGATCTCGAAGGAGATGAATGATGCCTCAAAGGTTTTGTTTCTTTCTTCCTATGGGGCATGGGAAGTTTGGAATGCGTATATAAGAGACCGACCTTGCCCTGTTAAACATTCCACATATAGGGATGTCTTTATTAAAGCGTTGGAAATTATAGCCGGGGATAAGCGCAACTTGTCACTTGAATTGCAGTCAAAATATCTAGTTTCTCTTTTTGATTATACCAAACTAGAGTACATTCCTGATCCTCTGAAGCATCTGGTGGTCTTTCAGCTTCTCACAGACCTTCCAAACTTATTCTTTCGTCTCCATGACATAGCCAAAGAGGATGGCGATGGATCATTTCTTGTTTTCGACATGAATGAGAAACTCAAGACAACTGCAGGACAGTCTTTTTTGAATGCAATTAACAGAATGAAACAGCTGATCCGTACTGACAACAACTGGTTTTGGAATACACTGGACTCTGATGCAGCACTCACGAACAGTAGTATGACCAGAAATGACCCTGCCTGTGTTTGTGACAGTGATATGGCATATGGGTTAGCTCAGCTTGAGGCCCTCACAAAATTTGGAGATATGTCAAGTGTAAAAGAAAGCTTTTTATGTCAGGATCAAATTAACACTTCAGGCTTTGGTTCTATGGCTTCAAACGGTTTAGTACCACAGGTTCCTTAGAAACTTAAGTAACAGCCATCGATCTGGAATCCTGGTGTCTCTTTTGGAAATAAGTATCATGGGATCTGATGACTGACAGCATGGCACACTAAAGCATTCTGGATTATAATTCTCCAGATAATCATAGAAATACTCATCCAGTGTCCAACCATTTAAGCAAGACTATAGGTGCTTCTCAAAACTACTCTGGAATTTGTTATGTTCTTCAGCTTTTCTGCGAAGTGGTGCACAGAACACCAGAACATTTCCAAATTTTGCTGGACGTTAGTCAGTCTTATCTTTATAGACATAATTATCTGTCGAGTTGCCTTTGGATCTTCTCTTCTTCTTAGTGTGGTTCTAGGCCAAGTAATTAATGATGTACAAAAATGTGGTGCCTATCATTTATATCAAAGCAATTTGCTGAATTGTTTGTTTGGTAGATGATAGAAGAAATTAAAACAGACGAGTGGGTGGAACCCATGGAGTGGATTTGAATAGCTTGGTGGTTAAGATACTTGCCTTCCTATCATTACAATTTGTTTAGGATTTTGGACTGAATGTTTGGCTACGCATAAAAGTAGTTTTCAAGGGATATCGAATTACGATTGAGTGATTGCTGAATGACCCCCATGTCATATTAGACCATACTGCTTTAACTATAGGTGACATTCTCCAAAGCACTCTCATTAACAAGTAGAGTATAGATTCCATAATAGAATAAACTATATGCAGCCTAAACTACAGTATAGTATAATCAAGCATTAAATAGGAATTTCCTTGAATAGTAAAATTCATGGAACTAGGCACTTTTTACTTCCGGACGTAAACTGTATAATGGTGGGGTCCGCTGATCTTGGCGTAACCTCAGGGCGACCGAAATCCTACCTCTGAAAATAATTTATAATAGTTCAACAGTTACTGAAATCTACAGCTTTATGATTTCTAATATTTTTACAATGTACAATAGAGAAATTATTATTTATACCTCTAAAACAAAAATCATGTCGTTCGGACAAATATTGGCAGAGAAATCATAGTTTTTCAACACGCAATACTCACCTTCCCATTCTTTAGCATTAGAGATTGTCAAATTTTAACAAGTCGCACCTCTACATATGATAAATGCGCATTCAGATTTTTAAAAAAAGCCAATGAAATTAATTTTAGATGATTTATTCTCTTTTTGATACTGAAACGGCCACGAGTGAGAGGTTTTTTGTGAAAGCTGACCCGCATATTTTAGGTTGCTTCAGATTAACAGCCAACATTTATACACAGGGTTTTCGGATACGCTCGCAGTAAAGAAAAGATTCGATAAAGCAAAATCGATTTAGAAATTATAAATAAAATAACATTATTTCTAAATAAATTGTGGACATGTTACTGAAACAGCCAAAAAAATTGGTGGAATATCAACGGAGATGGCTTAAAAAACACGTCCAAAATGGTCGGTTTTCATGCGATTTTGAGATGTTGGCCTTTACAGGATTTTTGGGACCCAAAACAAATTGTAATGCACAGGGTCCTGGGTGTCTTGGAACAGGATTTACAGGGAACTAAACACAACTTGTGTAAAATAATCAGAGATTTTCTAGTTATGTCTTCTCATCTGTTTATACACTTGATTTGATTGAAATAATGCTGGAAGGACCAACTGGTATATTTAAATTCTCTGTATGTGAAAGTTATGACACCCTTGACAAAAAAATAACTTGATTTTAACAAAAAATATATTTAATTACCTCAACTATGGCCTATGTATATATTATACCTTGAATTTATTAATCTTGGCCTAGGCTTTCAAACTAACATCTTGCTAAATCTGGTGGTTGAATACTAACAGTAATTGTTAAAATACAATAGGAATGTATATAAGTATGTAAGTATAGGAAATAGTTTGGGGCACATGGCTAAATTTGTTAAATTGTTTTTCTAGGGCATTAGTGAATTACTAGGTAAAGGTATGGAATTTAATGCGGTATTACTCCCTATTGCATCTAGGGGTTCATGTATCCCGGAAGTTGCGGGAGTCCCCCTGAAAATAAACTATCTCCCGCAAATTCATAATATTTGCATATTTTTACTACTTTCAGTTGTGTTACAGAAGCCTTTAAAAGTATGTTTGACATCTTAATTTAAATGATTATGTTATATTTATTCAACAAATAATGAAGTTTTTTATCACCCTTTACATATGTGTTTATCCTAGTGGCCCGGTCCTCTACAGAGGAGCTTTGTAGGGGCCCTAATGGGTGGAATGAATACCAGTGGTGTAGCCAGCGGTGGGAGGCCGTTTGACACGTGCGACGCCACAATGAGGTTATTACACCAAAAATAGTTTGCCTATCAAAACTACATGCTTTTGATTGCTAATGCCTAATAACATGGTATAAAAAGCACAATTTGGCCATACTAAGCCACAAAACTCTACCCATGAAGTCTACCAGGGATTTTCATACTGGGACCCTGACTGAGGTTCAGTCGGACCCTTGGTTTTCGGACCCCACCTCTCAGTCATGTCGGACCCTCTGAGTGTAAATCCCTGGAGCCACCACTGATGAATGCAAGTCCCCAAAAGGTAGAGCCTTGTAGGTATTTAGGATGATAAATTAAACAGCTATATGATTTTATCAACTTTTTAACCTATTTTCTTGATTGAATATTTAAATAAAATATAACTTGCTACCTAATTTATTTAAAATAGTAGGCACGTTCCTCAGATTGGACATATAAGCCATTTGTCATGATTCAGTTAAATGTCCAACTCATAAGTCCAATCTACTGATCTCTACTATAACAGCTATTCTACCATATCAGCAGCTCTGCTACTTCAGGGCCAACATGAGAGGGCGCACTAGTCGCCGTGAAGCATAACGTTACTAGAACCCGTGAAGTCCAGACGTGTGTGTGTTGTTCTTTCAAGGTTTTTGGTAAATAGGGTTTACCTTTAGGGTATTATTAGAATTGTAGGTCTATAATAATGTTTAGTTTGAGGATTTTTTCAGTCACTGTGACCCAGGTTTCATGATGAAACTTCACCATTTACCAAATTTTACAATTTTGAACCAGGTTTTGCCGATCTCTTCTTATCTCTACTGCTTCAGGGAATTTTGTAACAAGATTAACAGTGAGGCTCATTAGTTGTGAATAGTTCATAAGATGACTAGCACAATTAAATAAAAAACCATGTTGTAACTTCTAACATAAGCCATTGATTTTTAAAATTCAAAAGCATATCTATTATGATTTTTATCTGAAATTATATAAGTTAATAAAAATGCCAAATTATTTTGAACAACAGGTTTTTAAAATTTTCCAGCCTGGTTTTTAAATACTATACTGGTAATTTATTGAGAAACAGCAATGCCTGCTGTGATAATGACTCTTAAGTAGAGGTATTCTTCTTTGATGTTTAATTGGATTATTGAGATAAGATTCTGGAAAAACCTGGTTCACCAACCCGCCTGAATGCCCTTTTAAAGGGTTTGCTGGTAAATGGGATAGTAACAGCATGGGGCACGTTTCGCTGTAGGCCTACTTATGGAAGTACTATAACAGCTATTATAGTAGAGATCAGTGCTCCAGTCTTGCATGTCTATTTTGCATAAATGGTTGTAGTGAAAAAGACTGCCCGTATAAACTTTATTTATTCATTTTGATGTTTGGCCAGTGCGACCAAATATACAAATATTTGAATATTATTGATAAAAAAAAAAAATATTAAGTTAAAGTGTGCTGTTGCAGTTAGCATTATCATTCCATTTTCTTTGGTGATTACATTCCATGGTCCAGTGGCGTATCTAGAAGTCTTGCAATGGGGGTGCTGATGGAGTGGGGGCACAAAGGTAAAGTTGGGGGGCTCGATGATCAGTTGAAGGGCGCCAATTCACAAAAAAAGGTGATTTTTAACTACTTGATCGTGATTTTTTGGGGGCGTGTGCCCCCAGCACCCCCTAGATATGCCACTGCCATGGTCTTACAGGGGTTGCTATTATTCCTAAATTTATGAAATCTACAGCCATACAGTAAGTGGCCAGTTGAAAATGTTTGTGAGTATTTTTATAGCAATATGTCCCTGGAGAACGAGTCCAAAGATACAGTAATCTATACAGTATTGGATAAACTGACTATTTTGACTCTGTTCATGAACTAGGACAGATGGATTTATTCAGTGTAAACACCAAATCTTTTTTCTAAAGAGTGTACTGCGTTCTTTAAAATGCACATGGGTTGTAATGCACATGGGACCAACAGCTTAAATGTCTCATCCGAAAGACAATGCACTACTGTAACTTGCATTTATGCCCAATAGCTGAAATACAAGGAGAGCAGCGATGGGAATTGAACCAGGGACCTAGAGATCTCAATGATTCAGCACACAAACAGTGGCTACCACTAGTTTAGCTCTCTAGCATCCTAGAAAATAATAGAATCACCTATCCCAGGGCACCATGTTACTACCATGTTGTGTGCATCATTCCTATTACCATTCAATGATAGTTAGAAAGAATTTGCAAGAATTAAATAGAAAATAATTTTTAAAAATACCTACAAGACCACACTGAAAAAAAAAAAAAAAAAATGAATTTCAAAGAATTATACCTAATTATCTTAAATATACAATATTTACTGTATTTTTTTATTTAATGTAAACTATTATTATAATATAAGCCATCTCAAACTGCCTGTCAAAAAAACAAATGCATATAATAATATACTCAGTGAACAGAATGAGTATTTTTATGATTTGCCATGCCTTGACCTCTGACATAGGCATGAGCAGTATATATACTGAAATTGAAATTGACCTACTGTTGTACGGTAGTCTTGCTCATTAGTCGCATATCTGCACTAGAATCGCAAACCAATATGCCAACTGTTTCCATGGTTATTTGCTTGCGGTAGTATTGCGAGTAAAAAATTTCATCATATTGATGGGAGAAAAAGCTCTGAATGCCTAACATGTATTTTTTAAAACTTTAATTTCAATTACAATGCAACAGACATTCTGTAAAAAGATTTTATGACCTAGGCGTTCTAGGACCGTCATACAAATAATATTTATAAGACCATTTATAGAGATATTTTTTTACCTATTTTAATGTCTGTGTTGTTGATTTAGGCCATAAGCTGTGCATGCAAGCATGATATAAGGTGGAATTGTCCATCCATCAGTAAAAAAAAAAATCACTGTTAGCTTTAATATTTTGAGGTAAGAAAACATTCCTATGATTTGTTTTGCACTTTAAACTGTTTAATATTAACTGTTGTAAATTGTATTTTTGTATTGTCAGAAATAAAGCTTTAATTTGCTATTACAAAAAAAAGATTTGTTGACGTTTTATGTACAATATAACTTGACTAACTTTACTGGGGAGCTTTGATTTGCACAACGACGTGAACTAGGAACGGATTCACTCATCCGTAACAATCCTGCTTTCTCTGATAAACTGCATCCTACAATTTAGATGATGAAACTTCAACATTTTTGCTAGCCTGGATATGGGTTACTCGCTTATTATTTCGCTTAGTGCGCGCCATACCAAGTTAAATGGCATCCCATACTTGGATTACTCGATTCTACTACTCGATAATACCATCCTCACTCGACTCAACAACTTAACAAAATTTGTTCATTAGCGGGAGGAAAAACTATAACAAGGAACTTGTGGGAATTATACATTTTCGAATGCATAGGTGGCTATGTGATGTCACCATGTTCTAGATCTTACTGTTGTGCAGTTGAAAGGTCCCGAATATTACTAACTTTAACAGCAACGCATGCACGCACAAAACCTGGATTCCCAAGAATGCACCTTGTTCTCGTGCACAATTAGTACATGTCAGTTCAAATGAGGGCTACCTATGGGCCTCCGGTAAGGGCCCACACTTTAAAACCCCCTTTTCACATAACAAGTTAATAAAACTTGGTAAACAAACCTAGGACTAAATATTTTGCAATACAATTTCATTAGTATCAGCGGTACAAGCAAGAACAGTATAACAGTTTATATTTTTATTAAATATATACATGAATTAAAATACAACAAAGTGTGTATTAATATAGTATACTATTATAACAATTATAAACAATGTTGACTAAAATTAATATCATTACTAATGTAATCTATAAATTGACATCCATAATATATCATTGTCAGTATCATTTTTTCAAGGACTGTACCCCACCTAAAGTAATGGAAACATTTGTCGCTACCCAGCTATATATTTCGGTGATCGGTTTGAAATTCATGTTTTAAGATGACTTTCATGTTAAATGTCAATGATAATCATAGACTCTGCCCAGTGATATTGTAAGCAATTAGCACCCTTCCCTATAGGATATCAAAGCGTTTTGCAAAGCCTGAATAAGCTTGTGTGATGTGTTATAGAGATGCTTGGGGCCCTCATTAAATTCCATCCCAGCTGCTTCAGCTGGAGAGCTGTATTAATCTGTGTAATATTTAGTATGTGTCCAGTGTAAAATTTTGTCCCATTTTAATCAGGTGAGCACCGTAGCGTATCAAGGGATGCGCGAGGTGGCACACTACTTAAAAAAACAAAAGAACTTGGGGAGTCCCCCCCCCCACCATTGAAAATGTTTGAAGCAAAAAAAATCATGTTAAAAGTGATAGAAATCACCTTATAAACCTTATGTTGCAGGCTAGCACCCCTTCACTTAATCATTGATCCCCCACTTCACCTTCGCATCCCTCATCAAATTTCTAGATACACCACTGGGAGAGCATCACTGAGTTTAATTCCATCCTGTAGGGGTATTTTATTTTTTATTCATGTATCAAACACAGTTCCAATGAATCCTTTACAATCATAGTAGATACACTTATACAATGTTTATTGAAGAAGTGAATGTTAAGAATAGGACAACAAGTCGCTTGTTAGCAATGGACAAAACAGGCTCATGCCTGCGAAACTGTTAACTGCCTTGACTGGATTGTTTTCCTGTGATTACCCGATTTACTTTGCATTTGTATGTGGTCAGCCATGCCGGGAAGACGTGAGAAGTAGTTCTTAGCAAGGGTGTGCTTCGTCTTGATCTTGTGGCAGAAAACATGGCCATAACCCTAAAGAATTCAAAAATTAATTCAGATAAAGTTTTGAGAATACTAGCATATAAATGTTAAATAGGGTCATGCAAATTTAGATTTGTGTTCAAATATTTTCCATATGTATAGCACTTCATTTCATTTTGTCATCAAGGTAGATAAAACTAGTCCATTACAAATTAAATTAGGAGCAAATTATTAGCCAGCATCTATTTTGCTTATCTTCATTAACTTCATACAGTTTAATTTTTGAATATACAAACTAACTCTTCATTACTTACAATAATGAGCTTTTGATTGCACGACGACAGTAGGACGTAGAACGTAATGACATCACCAAAGGTCTTCTGCGCATGCGAGAACGTCTAGGACGCAATTTGTCCAAATCAACGTATGCAAAGAACGAAGGACACCGAAATGCATAAGTGATTCCGTTCTATTGTCGTGTCATCACACAAATCGAAAGCTCCCGACTTGTTTAACCATGGATGAAATAAATTCCATGGTTCAACAAGGTTATAATTTTTATAAACCACATCTCTAAACCATTCATTCTCTTTGTTGTTTTAAAAACATAACTTAAACAAAGCATGTAAATGATAATAAATGCAACATAGCAAAGAGTATAAAACTGCAAGAGGTCCGACTGCCAGGGATTCGTTGGAACACAATCCTATCTCAAAAAGTACTTCCACGAAGGGGCGTGGCTTTTAATAGATGAGAGCAACGCGTACGAGTTTCTAAAGTCGGCTATTTTGTGGGATTACTTTTAAGGTTCCATCGCCTGCATACAAAATCTGGGCAGTTGGACCTCTTGCAGTTTGGTACTTTTTGACCATAGCTCAGTCAGACAAGAGTAAGGAAATGTTACAAATAGAGAACCCTGGGTCCCTAATTCAATTCCATCACAGCTGTATTAACTGGATGGCTGAAAAAGATACTCACCTTTTCTAATTCATCAATCTTGAAGTGAGCCTTTGCTTCGTCTTTAGTGAGTAGGATGCAATTCCATGGCGACCAATGTTCATGGGTGTCCCACCTGACTATTGCCAGGTCAAACAGGTCGTTCCAAGCACTAAGTGTGCTCTGGCAGTTCCAGATATTCTCCACCAAGTATCGTAAGTCAGTTTCCTGAAAAGCAAAATATAATAATAATAAATTTCTGCTCATGCGCATTTATATACATTAAGCCTTGAAGCTTTTTTTGAATACTTTAAATAAATGTTAAAGAAAATTTAATTTCACATCTTCCATCTAATCAAATTATTGTAGTTAGATATACATGTTAAAAGCACTGTGAATTGTGATTCATCCAAGGCGAGCCCTTGTAGATCTGGTAAGTAATGTATCAGTGACCCGTTGAAGTTGTTTTATCATCCATTTTTTTGTTATGCTATCTCCTATCTTGCATTATATTTTGTTTATTCGTATTATCACTGTAGGATGCTAAAGCCCTGTCTAGACTATCAAACTGCATTTGACAAAACAATGTGACATGCCTAAATATGGTCATAATGACATCACATCATGACAACATACAACAATTTATTTGTCAAAGAACACTGTGGATATTAGACGTACTATAAATATGTTTGATTGATTGATTGATCGAAAGAAAATTTGATAGTCTGGACAGAGCTTACGATAAACTACTAGCTGAAAAAATTAACGTAAGGAAGGCTAACCTGTAATAAGAATGGGATTCGAGAACCATCCCCAATAGCCTCCTCTGCTTTGCGGAGCGACTTCAGCATGTAGTGGTAATGACTGAAATCCTGCCGAAGTCTACCGTCGTTGTCGATCTTTGTACAGCAACGGCACTTGCCGACAACTTTAGAGTTGGATGACAAAAGGAACTCTGTGGAAGGTAAGTAGCTGTTGCAGCTCGGGCAGAAGTAGATGTTCTTGCGCAATGTGGATGGATCTTGAGGGACCTTGATATCAGGAAGAAAATAAAAACAAAATATTACTACTAATAATATCTGAATTTGGAGTTTTCAGAAGTCTTTTAAGGTTTCCTGAAACTGCATTTCTGATTCCATCTTGAATTTTGATTCCCTTTTAATTGGAATAATTTTAGTAATGGCACCTTCAGATAACCTGCCTATTGACTATGATGTAAATCAAAAATCATCAAATTTTCAATCTTGGCAAGCAATGCTTAACTAATTCTTGTTACAATTTCAATTGCATTGCAAAATATATCCCGCCAAAACTAATGTATGCTCACTATTGCACTAATGTATACACTTTGTTCGTGTAGATTTATCAACTGTGTAATATTATAAATTGGTATGTTGCCCTACAAAACGGCCGTCCCGAGGCAAAACAACATGACTCGCATTTTTGTCGATTTTGACATAATATCATTTGGGAGTTTATTAAACAATCCTGAGTTACGCTGACAATTTAAGGTTTCAACAATGAGTTTCAGAGATGGCAACATTTGCCTTTAGGCATAAAACTTCATTGCAAGATTACGGGGTAAAACGTATCTACGATGAAGATACGTTGTTTTGCCACTGAATGGTATTAAAGAATTGTTTTGAGCGGAGGGAGTATCTGTGAATATCGTTAATAACCTTGCAAAACTTCAATGGTTGTAATAAAAATTTTACATATAATCATAATTTCTATAGATATGGTCCTGCAAAATATCAGAAGGGTATGAAAATTTGTTGCAAACATTAACTCTATTTTCCTCAAAAAGTTGCGTTGTTTTTCCACGGAACGGTCGAAAAGAGATCGTCATCATCAGCACTTATCCTCATCATCGCTAATCTCATCATTGTTACCACCAACATCACCACTATCATTCTATAGTGTGTTAAAATGCAAGCAGCCTTTAGTGTTGGCTTACCTTCAGAAGTCTACCTGCTTCTGGGTTGAATGTTGGCGTCTTGATGTACTGCATGAACAGAGTCGATATACGCTTTCTTAGGCCATCTAGGTTAGACTCCTTTACACCTCGCATCAACAAGTCAGCCTCTCTGTCTATCAACTCAATTATCTCCTGTGTCAACTTACAATCATGTTCCTACAATCAAATAAAAATAAGATATTTAAATAAATATTAGAACTTATACTTGTTTAAAGCTCTTTTCTGCAAGTGGCTTTAATCTTTGTAACCACACAAAACCTTGAGATTCAATGATGTTTTTTAAAATTATAATACAGTATCTAATATAATTAGTAAACTTCCATACTTATGCATCCAATTTCTAGGGAAAGTTCTTTGGAAATAATTTAAATATTATTTATAATTAATACTTATGTCAACATACCTTGACAGTGTGCTTCAGCGTTAGCAGTACATCAAGTCTTTCGTCCTGTGTTAGATATCTCATGTTCAGACTGTTGTATATGTTGCGAAGTTCCTTGGCACGGATCGTGTATGCTGTGTCCATTTCTGTGTATCTACCATCAAATGCTTTCCAACGCTTTGGTCCTGCAGCCTGGTGTTGAAAAAAAGACTTCTTTGAATAATTTATCGGATACCTGGTTATGTTCTACATATAACAAGTGTATGGGGCATGTAGAAAATGATGTTAGATTAACATTTCCCACTAGGAGACCTGTTTTGTTTCATAGTTGTTTCATAGTTGATGACAAGGATAACAAAAGTGAGCCTGTGGCAGCACCAGCGGGGTATCTAGGGTGCACCGGACCCCATCGAACTCCGCACCTCCAGCTCGTCAAGGAAGAAGCCAATAATTTTGTCAGGAACATTGCTTAATAAAAGATTTTTTCAGGCTGCGAGTGCCATTTTGGAGCATCCAGAGATGCCTGTTTCAAAATTTGCTTCAACCATGGCGAGACTTGCACGGGTGTGGACCCCTTGTCAGGTATCTTGGACCTCTCGCTAGGGAATCTTTGGTGCCAACACTGAAGTAAACAGTGACCATCAAGATGTAACCTCGAGAAAAGACTACATAAATAAAACATACCGTATCTAAGAACTTTTGAATTGCTTGCTGTTTATTGTCAGTATCAGCCTCCAGCTTATGACGTCCTATAGACGCGAGCAACTGGGTCTCTTGGTCAAGCAGATGACAGAGGGCAGCCTTGCGTTTAGCACCACTCATCGAAGAGTCTATGGCAGCCAGTTCTTCCTGTCTCCATTCTAAAAAGAAAATTCATTTAATTAACTTTCTCATTCAAGAAAGTTTTTGTTTACAATAAAGTTAGAAAAACATGAACATTAAATAAAACACAGATTACATAGCAGGTAGCTTACTTTCTAGTGCGTGGTATAGCAAGTCGAAATCTTCTTTGGTTTTGGGGTTCATTCTTCGTTCAAATTCACGACGAATTCTATCCTCCTTCTCTTTAATCTTCCTAATCTCCTCCATTCTTTCCCATTCGAGTCGCTTAGCAAGGTCAACTTTCAAACCCGCGACAATTCTCTTTGCTTGCCACCTTCTGAAGTATGATTGCAAAATAATGACCTAGAAATGAAATAAATGGCAAATTTTTTTTTTTAGATTTGAATACAAAATAAAGTACTAAACAGAAATGTATTTAGGCAAGACTTTTTTATATCTTGTTTCGCAAAATTATTTTTATAAAGATCGTCAGAGGAGAGCGGGAAAAAAAATGAAAATAAAATTTTGTTTTCTTATTTAGCAAGTAGTTTTGCTAAACCATGCAGATGGAGGAGAAAATAAATTTTAAAATAAAATTTTATTGGTAAATGTCAACAGTGTGAAAATGAGATGGTTAAATGCTTTAGGCTATGTTCAGACTTGGAGATAAGCCAGGCTTGAGTTAACCCCGGCTCAACGTTAAGCCCGGCTTAACTTTGCCGGGCATTCAGACTAGCAGGTTTAGCCAGGCGAGAATTTGCATAATAATGAACCGTAACCAGGAAACTTGTTTCAAAACATTGCTCGCGAAACGTACGTTCGCTCACAGCGTACGTAATTGAATGCTGATTGATCATTTCGTCACCCGAAGTCAATGCAAGACCCCCCTGCAACGATTAAAGCCCGGCTTAGAAAAGTTAAACACGGTGGCGCACCAGGCCGATTTACTATAGGAACACAGCCCGGATTGAGATAAGCCACCTAGTTCAGACTGGCATGTGGATAAACCCGGTGAGTTGAGCCGGGTTTATCCACCTAGTCCGAACTAGGCCTTAAATTTATATAATTAGAAAGAAATATTCATATCTTATTTTTGGAGATTTCAAGACAGCGGGCGGCAAGTTTTTTAAACGAGGTATAAAGAAAGTCTCGCCTTATGGATAACACTTTTTTTAAATTAAAAAAAAAAGTTAAAATGAAAGTAAATAAAATGACATGCATTTTAGTGTATTTCTTATAGTTCAGTGAAGATATTTCTCTTTAGTTATAAATAGTTGGTATTATAATTAATTTAAAGGCTGCAATCATCCAACAACTGTATACTTTCAAAATGTTTACATCCTGAATTCTCAACCATGTGATTAGCCTTAAACCTGTAATTTCTTTGTACTAACTTTTTGCAAGATAATTGTATGGTATTCGTGAGCAGACTGATATTTTCCCGGAACCATCAGCTTATCCGTCATATTCGCAACGTAGCAACCGATTGCTGTCATCTGCGTCGATGTATCAACCATCGTCTGCTGCCTTTGGTTCTTCTCATTGACAGTTTGCGTGTCACGGCAGAACTTTTCAATTCCGTTGTCTGGCCTGGCTTTTGGTCTTGTCTGCGCAGCCGCATGGTGGAACTCCACGCCACTCAAACGGTGACGGTATCCACCAATGAATGGTTTACGAGCCATCGAACGCTCGATTTCAACGACAACATCCTCAAACTCTCCATTCTCTATAAAATATTAAATTTAGTTAATTCAATTACACCATTTTCAGATGTCATATCCTGTAAAAACAACTAAAGCCCTGACCATACTAGCATTAAGTTTTATTAAACACATTTGTTTGCTCCTTAAATTGCCAATAAAAGATGCGATGTTTTTGGTTCAGTTAGGCTTCAAGTGTTCTATGAGACTAGGTTCATGGTTTAGTTTCTTGTCTGTTTCCTTTTGTTGTTGTCAAGCACCTCGAGGTTGGTTGAAAGGGAAGCGCTACAAATTATTAATATTATGTTTATCCATCATTCGTTTTTAGGGCAACACCCATGATATATTTCAGCACAATGGAATTTTCCGCTAAGCCCCTTCCCACCCCTTGGACAATGTGGCTAAGATCCCAAATAAATTGCGTAAACATACATAATCGTAATAGGGAGCTTTCGATTGCACGACAATGGTGGGACGTAGAACGTAATGAGGTCACTAAAAGTCATCTGCACATTCAAAAATGTTAAGTTCTCCTCGTTGCATAGATTTTAGGACACAATTTGGTCAAACCTACGTATGCAGAGAATGTAGGACACCTGGTAAGACAGTCACGCATGAGTGATTCCATTCTAGTCTCGCATCGTCGAACAAATCAAAAGTTCTTTAATATGCATTTCTGGGACAACACATGTGTTTGTGGGACAAGCACATATTTCTAGCCCTGTTCTGAATGGTCAGTTGTTAAGTTTGATTGACACTCAGGAAGCATTCATTGGTTGGCTTACCTCTTAGAACCTTGACTGTGATCACATCGGGCATAATGTATTCTGGCTTGGGTTTCAGCTGTTTTAATGGGTTATTCACTGGATCGGAGGAGGATATTTCCATCTGAACTGCACCGTTAGGACCTACCCCAAGGTCAGCAAGAGTCAAATTATTATCAACACCTTTCCCTATGAAGAAGAAAAAAAAAAAAAAACACTTGGTTGAAATGTGACAAAAACAATGTAGAGCACTTATTCTAATAATAAAAAAACCTGGGATAATACTTATGAAATATAAAAGTAGCCGCACTGGAAGATCCAAGTGCACCTGTTCATATTACTTGTGCCCTAAGGCAAGGCATTTTGTCTAGTCTCTATTCACCCACAGTATGATGTGAATGATGTTGTTGCTGGTGTTGGTGTGGTATTGATATTTATATTATCACTATTTATTTAATTATTGTAATTAACCTTACCATCATACATGAAAACTAGTTTATCACTTGTCATTCGTAGCTCTGAAGCAAAATGCACTTTAAGATCCTGCATGGTTTGGTTGAGGGCGCACGCCATTGTGTGAACCTGACCACTTGGCATCAAGACGAATTTCACTGAAAAAAACAAGATATGAAACATAATTTTTAAAATTTTGTATACAGTAGAATTGACTGTTCACTCCAGTGGCTGAAGTGGATGTGGACCTCCTTGAACCCTTTGTCTAAAAACTTCTGGTGTGTCGACACTTGTAGAATCACAACTTTCAGCACTTGTTTCCAGACACATAAAAACAGGTTGTCAGGATTGTAGTACAGTAGTTTGCATAAAGCATTATTGTTTTTGAGAACTGCGACTTACCAGTAGATGTAGCATTGGCCATTGAAGGTTGTGGAGACGCAGCATGAGGATCGGTCTCATGCTGTTCATTGGTCACATCCGTGCCCATGCCTGTCGTCTCAACTTCTCCTTTTTCTTTGCTTTCTGCCTCACTTGCCTCCTGTATTTTCCCTTCATCTGCTGTTGCACTATCAATAGCTGTGCTGGCACCACCATCGACATCAACTGCATCTCTTACTGGTTCATCTATTCTACTGGTGTTTATATCCTCACCACCTTCTTTTAACTCTTCAATTCTATCATCTATTTCTGACTTTCCCTTTTCAGCATTGGTTTCTTTTGGTTCTACTTCTGTTGGTTTTTCAATGTCACCATCATTTTTCTTCCCTTTCCCTTCTATAGAATTGCTTTTCTCTATGCCATCACTCATTTCTCCAGGAAGCTTTGCGTCCACATTTGTATTTTCTTCATTTGCTGGTTTATCTGTTCCCTCATTTTGGTTTTCTTTATCTATGGGTTTATCTGTTTCATTGCTTGTGTTATCTTCTTTCGCATCTTCATTTTTTTCATCTGCAGAAATTTCTTTCTCAGTTTCACCTTCATGTGTAGGAGGCTTATCTTCATTGTCAATATGATCATTTCTTCCCTCTATAATTTCATTATTAGGTTCTTGTGTAGCATCAACCTCTTCAGTGGTCTCTCTTGCATTTCCTTCTGGACCATTTGCTTCTGTGGGATTTCCATTGCCTTCTAAAAACTAGTTTATCACTTGTCATTCGCAGCTCTGAAGCAAAGTGCACTTTAAGATCCTGCATGGTTTGGTTGAGGGCGCACGCCATTGTGTGAACTTGACCACTTGGCATCAAGACGAATTTCACTGAAAAAAACAAGATATGAAACATCATTTTTTAAATTTTGTATACAGTAGAATTGACTGTTCACTCCAGTGGCTGAAGTGGATGTGGACCTCCTTGAACCCTTTGTCTAAAAACTTCTGGTGTGTCGACACTTGTAGAATCACAACTTTTAGCACTTGTTTCCAGACACGTATTTAAACAGGTTGTCAGGATTCCCAAAAAATGACTTCTTCCAACTTGGGATCCCTGGGTTGTAGTACAGTAGTTTGCATAAAGCATTATTGTTTTTGAGAACTGCGACTTACCAGTAGATGTAGCATTGGCCATTGAAGGTTGTGGAGACGCAGCATGAGGATCGGTTTCATGCTGTTCATTGGTCACATCCGTGCCCATGCCTGTCGTCTCAACTCCTCCTTTTTCTTTGCTTTCTGCCTCACTTGCCTCCTGTATTTTCCCTTCATCTGCTGTTGCACTATCAATAGCTGTGCTGGCACCACCATCGACATCAACTGCATCTCTTACTGGTTCATCTATTCTACTGGTGTTTATATCCTCACCACCTTCTTTTAACTCTTCAATTCTATCATCTATTTCTGACTTTCCCTTTTCAGCATTGGTTTCTTTTGGTTCTACTTCTGTTGGTTTTTCAATGTCACCATCATTTTTCTTCCCTTTCCCTTCTATAGAATTGCTTTTCTCTATGCCATCACTCATTTCTCCAGGAAGCTTTGCGTCCACATTTGTATTTTCTTCATTTGCTGGTTTATCTGTTCCCTCATTTTGGTTTTCTTTATCTATGGGTTTATCTGTTTCATTGCTTGTGTTATCTTCTTTCGCATCTTCATTTTTTTCATCTGCAGAAATTTCTTTCTCAGTTTCACCTTCATGTGTAGGAGGCTTATCTTCATTGTCAATATGATCATTTCTTCCCTCTATAATTTCATTATTAGGTTCTTGTGTAGCATCAACCTCTTCAGTGGTCTCTCTTGCATTTCCTTCTGGACCATTTGCTTCTGTGGGATTTCCATTGCCTTCTACAGAAACATCATTCTTGTCATCTGTCTGCTTCTCTCGCTCGTTCTCTGACATTGTCACAAGTCTTTAAAAAGTAAATGAAAAAGCAAGTTTAAAATTTTTAATTTTTATAGAAAGATCACAACTGTACTACTCAAAATAATTATTTTATACTATTTTTAGTAGGCCTAGACCATAGTCTTTGTTATACCAGGCATAGGCCTAGTATTATTTACTCCTAAAAAGCTCATATAAAAAAAATTTAAATTTATGCCTAGGCTGGCCCCCCCCCCCCTAATTATATTATGATGGCCTTAGCACTAGGCTACTTTAATTTAGCATGTTATTTGGTAAGTGAGTAGGTCTAGCATAGATCCAGCAAAGCTTCCTGTTTGACAGAAAATAGGCCTAGCCTAGCTACTAGAAGGACCCTAAAGGTTAGCCTATGTTATGCCGCGCCTAGCTAGACAGGCCTGATTGCAAACCAGCAGGTCGGGATCGCTCACGAAAGAAAGGAGAGAGAGAGAGAGGACAGAGGAAGGCCTAGCTTAGGAAGTGTTTTCTCTTATTCCAGATTAAGTACCTATGATCTTTATTCAATTCATATACTATTTCATAGATATTAACTAACCTACCTGCAAGTCAAACGAAAACCTTATAATATGATTCACCAAGAAAAGTACATTAAAAACAAAACACGGTGAAATAACGAAGCCGAAACATTTTCACCAACCATCACATACTGCGATGTTTTGTGACGTCAGTTGCTAAGCAGCCTTTACGCTGGGTCAATTTTAACCAATGGTAGGTAATGAATTTAGGTCATTTATATCCCACCATTCATTCAAGTTCCGTATCAGATTGCCATAACAACAGGTAACGATATAAAAAGTTGATAAGTTTCGGCACAATTAAAATTCTTTTTTATGGAAAATTGTGCAAAAATTAGCCTTTGGAAATGATAAAATATTAAACAGATACCGCACTTTTGTGTTTCTGTCTCTTATACACATCTAGATGTGTATAAGAGACAGGACCATACTAGCATTACGTTTTATTAAACACATTTGTTTGCTCCTTAAATTGCCAATAAAAGATGCGATGTTTTTGGTTCAGTTAGGCTTCAAGTGTTCTATGAGACTAGGTTCATGGTTTAGTTTCTTGTCTGTTTCCTTTTGTTGTTGTCAAGCACCTCGAGGTTGGTTGAAAGGGAAGCGCTACAAATTATTAATATTATGTTTATCCATCATTCGTTTTTAGGGCAACACCCATGACATATTTAAGCACAATGGAATTTTCCGCTAAGCCCCTTCCCACCCCTTGGACAATGCGGCTAAGATCCCAAATAAATAGTGTAAACATACATAATCATAATAGGGAACTTTCGAATGCACAACGATGGTGGGACGTAGAACGTAATGAGGTCACTAAAAGTCATCTGCGCATTCAAAAATGTTAAATTCTCCTCGTTGCATAGATTTTAGGACACAATTTGGTCAAACCTACGTATGCAGAGGATGTAGGACACCTGGTAAGACAGTCGAACAAATAAAAAGTTCCTTAATATGCATTTCTGGGACAACACATGTGTTTGTGGGACAAGCACATATTTCTAGCCCTGTTCTGAATGGTCAGTTGTTAAGTTTGATTGACACTCAGGAAGCATTCATTGGTTGGCTTACCTCTTAGAACCTTGACTGTGATCACATCGGGCATAATATATTCTGGCTTGGGTTTCAGCTGTTTTAATGGGTTATTCACTGGATCGGAGGAGGATATTTCCATCTGAACTGCACCGTTAGGACCTACCCCAAGGTCAGCAAGAGTCAAAT